GAATCTGGCTTCCTCCCACAGCCCATGCATGTTAGCATTAATGATGAACTGGTCTTAGGTGTGAATGGTTCTTTGTCTAGCAACCTGTCAAGAGTGCACCTTGCTGCATGACCCACGGAAAATGACCTGATGAATGCACTCGATTTGGAGCCAGCCTCAAGTGGTTATTTGAGGAACTGCAGTCTTTAGCACTTCCGCGCTACCTTCACTTTTCAATTGCAGAGGTTTTCACTGGTGCAGAACAAATTAAATTTCACAAAAATCAGTTTTGTGAAATTTAATTTATGACCAGGCTGAATGTTGCAAAATGTTTTTGTAGACATGGAATCACTGAATATAAAACAAATAATGAAGCAGTCTAAAAGTTTCAGATGTTCAATTTTACTGATGAGTAATAATTATGAAATATGTTGTTATTTGGTGCTTTGGTTTCCAAATGTGTCTTGTCATTTTCAGGTTACATTCATTCACATTTCCTGAACAGCAGATGAGTGTGTGTCATTTTATCTATCTTAGCATTGATTACTTTGCGTCCGAACAGCAAGTTGCCTTCATTTGCGGCTATAAGAACAGTAGACTTTAGTACTATTTTGACATGCTGAATAACGAGAAAAACAATATTTCTCTCAATGGAGGTTGGAACTTTTAGAGGTGGCAACAATAACATGAACCAAAATTTTGTATTTAAACAGGAGCTCGGAAGGTTGTGTCCGCCCCTGAAAAAAAAGTAACTTTTTTTTTTGGAGTGGGGCAGAAGTCAAACTTTCGGGTTATTATCTCTTTGGTTTTTTTCATGGAGAAAGATGCTTCCATACTAAAGTGACTGTTTTTAAAAAGGGAACGATAAACACAATGGAAAATATATTCGAGAACTAGCTGCTTCTCCCATTTCAATATTAAAATGAAGCAGAAGAGAACAAGATCAGTGTTTGCTGTGTTGGTGTACCCGAGAACATCGACTAGGATAATAAAAACACACCTTAGTGAGGAACAGTTGACAAATTTTAAACAAAACAGCTGATACAGTCACCACAAAGATACATTTTTTTAAAAAAAAATCAGGGATTGAGTTATGATATATTTTCATCTCTTACAGCGTATTTGTTTAATTTAGGTGTAACAAAACTGGTATTAATCTGCTGTGTTGTTTCCAAATGATGCTTATGATTCATCTCGTTCTCATTAAAGAAACAGCTGGACAATGTAGGAAGGATTCTGTTCTTTTTTTAATAATCAGAGTGTGTATGATAAGGGTTGTTTAACAATTTGCCAACACAGACACACACACACAAACACACTACATAAACTGCTTATGCCCTTACACAGTTGGCACACTACAGTATTACAGTTTACACATGTATTCAATGAATGAACACATTTTCAATAAACTTGAGTGAATTTCATACTCATGCATGTGTGCACTCCTACTGTACACACACTCACACACAACCTGTCTCCCTCACTGACTACCACTGAGCCTTCCCTGCTCCACTTTTTTTGTATCTGTCAACCAGGAGCATGTCAGTGTTTAACCCCCTCCCACGCTGTGACACACACACACATATGCACACATGCAGCCATTTTCCTTTACAAAAAAAAAACAAAAAAACTGCACAAAGTCACTCAAACATTTTTTTTTTACCCTTCTTTCTGTGTTAAAACACACATACACAAACCAGGACACTAGTTTAGACAGACACAGACAGCTGGAGCAGGTATTATAAGTACCTTTCCATTCCTTCTCTTTCCCTTGTTATGCCATTACTGAAGCTGATAGAGTCGGAGCTGACGTTTTCAGCTTGTGTGTGTGGCCACGTATATGTGTGTGCGTGTGTGTGTGTTGAAAGGTGTCACAGGCTCGCTGCATATTTGCTTTTGGCTCGCAGAAATCATTTAGTTGTCCGGTCAAAAAGGGCATCTGCCATCCAGCCACTCTCCTTTTCTCCGCAGGAGAGCACTCACAACAGTTTAAGAGGCTGCGGGGTTTCTTCCTCATGACTGCATCCAGCATTTAGGCTGCTCTTGGATATTTAAATACTAGAGTGTTGCAACCGTAGCTCAAAATAAGAAGGTTTAAAAATTTTAAGCCTAAACTTGCACTTTCCTGGTGAGTTAGGCTGAGGAGATGCTCAGGCTTTTTTTTAATCCCCTGTGGTGTTTATGGAAGAAATAGTGATGTGGTCTAGCAAGTGGTGAAACTAGAGTGTCAGCTGCAGTCAGCGATTATCTCTCAGTAATCACTGCTCTGTTATATTTCAAAGTATCAAGTCATGCGTTTTCTTTGTCCTTTTGTTGTGTCAGGATGTGTAAGATATATTTATGTTGCAAAGATGTGAAGAAAACAAATCAACTCTACTCTGCAGGTGATTGAAAAAATAAATAACACGAATCTTTCTCTATGCATTCACACTTAAAAAATCACATGTCCTTGGTGTGTCCTTCAAATCCTTCACTTTGAAACATCCAAAATGTGTTAATTTTCACAGTTGAATGTTGGTTAAGGTAACATAAAATGCTTTGGACCATGATGAAAATGGCAGGCATCTCACATGTGTAATAGCTTTATGGGGCATGTGATAGTCTGCATGCACGGGGGGCCAAGGTGCCTGCAATAGGGACAAGTGCTTGGCCAATTTGCAGCGTGTTTATTTATGTGTGTGGGTGTAAGAGTAAATATCAGTACACCTTCCTAAACCAAGACTGGCCATAGAACAATGAAATAAGCTCACAGTTGTCTGGGGGAATTAAAAAATGCGCTATGCGTAAAAGAATTAGCGGAACATATATGATAAGGACGCAGAAACATGGCACTAGACAGATTAGGAATAAGACGCACAGGAGCCAGTGGAGATAATCCCGTTATCTCGTTGGACGTAAAATGCCAATGTGAAGCATCCTCGGAGATCAGGATGAACTGAATATGAACTAATGCTGCGGATATACGGCAGGAGGAGTGGGGGCAATCAATACTGGGAAACTGAGGTAAACACTGTTATTCCTGACCTTAAGGAACATCCACGCAGTTTACCGCAATGTCACTGACGGTCTCCGTACTCCACTCATTGCGATCCCACACACGCGCGCACGCTCCGTGTTCCGTTTGACACCAGTTCGATGTCCCCCCCGCTAATGACATTGTTTCACCTTTGAGAATTCCCCATCAGTACCAAGAGCGCGTCTCCAATACATAAGAGATTATTGATGAATGGTCGCTGTCAAGTTGAGGAGAAAGGAAGCCGGGGTTCTGCTCATTAAAGGCTCGGGATAACCGGGTGCCTGTGGAGACGCACGCCGGTCATCACCTTTTAACCAGAGCGCATTTAACATTACGCGCGACAGGAATGCGCGCGTGTACACACGCAGACACGGACACAAGAGATACACAGATAACCACGAATTAAAAAAGCAAAAATACAACACGAGTATAACTCAAATGACAAAAAGGAAGACAAGCAGACTTACAAAATGACCCTGGGCTCTGTTGGTTCCTCTGTGCGACCCATTGTGATATTTCCGTTACTCCGTTTTAACGGAATCCTCAAATGCCGTGGTCGCAGTCCACGTCTCTGCAAATGTACCAAAGGATCACATAGAGAATGAGGAGAATGGCGAAGATGAAGAGCGCTACTAGGATGGCCTTGGTCACCGGAGAGATGAGCGACTGCATGTCAGGAGCAGAGCCGGGCAGAGCGGCGTGGAGCTCCGCGTCCGTCCGTACTCAGTCTGCTATCTCTCTCGCTCTCCTCCTCTCCTCTCCGCCGCTCCGGTGGCAACTGTTGAGGATGGAGCCTGGGGCTTTGCCGTGCTCAAGTACACACATTTATAACCTGACGCGCATGCACACGCACTCCGCCACGCGAATAGCCTCTCTACCGGCGATCCGGGCGCGCAACGCGTGGGGGCTTCCCTTGCTAGAAGCGGCACAGCAGTGGGTTGTATTTCCCCGGATCCACACTCCCTCACTGCCTGTCGCACATCAGAAGACGCAGCGACAGGTGAGACTGGACTGATAACACCCGCGCTTCCTGCAAAGAGGACGGCAAAAAACAACAACAAAAAAACACTTGAAATTCACCAATACAATACAATAAAATAAAAGCCCACACAGATGTTTCCAGACACAGAATGGAAAAGTGCTAAGTTGCGCGTCGAGCTGCTGCACTTGTCGGCAAACAGGTTGATTAGTATTCCTCACAGCGGCGTGTGTGAGTGTGCATGCGTATGTGTGAGATGGCTGGGGATGACAGGCTATCATCTTATCACGACCCTTCGAACCCCCCTTTTTGGCCAAGCTGTCAGTCCAAGGATTAAAATATAATTCTACATTTTTAATGTTTCCATTTCCACCTGATGCGCGCTTTATTCCTATTTTGTTGTATTACTAATCAGACTAGCCTAAGCGGTTGGTACGTCTTGCGCATCTTTTTATAAGTATTAATCCTATAATAAAAAGAAGATGGTGTGCAAATGCCATCAAAAACTCTTGTCACGTATACTCCATCTGGGCTAATTAAGACAAGGTCGTAACTGATAAGGCTAGAGGATATGCGCCTTTCCTCACATAAAATGCAAGATATCCATGTTTAAACCTATATGACCGATATACGTTAAGAAATTGGGAGTGTGTTTTATTCAGAAAATACAAACACTACATGACAGAAGAGATGACTGCATTAAACAGCTTTTTAATGTGAGCAACAGTTAATAACCCCCGAAAAAGGTCGTGTATTTCTGCATGATATTCCTATCAGATCATCACGGTTACCCACCACCCAAGCGATTCAAAGACATTAAATCACTGGAAAAAAAACCGCGCGCTTATTTTAAGTTGCCATTTCCAAAAACGGTGCAAAACAATAATGGGATCAAAGTCTAGAAATAACTGGGCTATTAAGGCATCACTGATGAACATTTAGGCTGCAGAAGTAGGACACCGAAAGGACATTATCAGTTGCATGATGAGAAGCGCAGCGTTCACCTCGAATACCACCGTGCACCACTAGATGGCGACAGATTTAAATTTCCATGTCCTGATGATGGTGTATTTGATTATTCCGCACACCATCACTGCACTGTAGTCTTGGATAAGAATCATGACAGCTAAACGGGCTTAATACGCGTAGGTAAGGAGAAATAAAATTAAGTTTTCAATTATTTTCATATCAAATATGCACTACTCACGCGTATTATTGTTTGTCGTGGTAGAGAACAAGGTGGTTAGCGAACGTTAGCTTGTGAAGATTGTGGCCTATTTAGCAGAGTGGCTGAGGAAGCTAAAGCCAGTTATTGCTAATAAGTAAGGGAAAGTTGTGTTATGTGTCACATGTGTCGTTTAGTGTGAGCTTAAATTTGCTGTTGAATGCCACATATAAGGAGGTACCGCAGCTATGAAGATGCAGTTGCAAACGAATGTTATATCAAAAGAGAAAGACCAATGTTTGCAGCAAATTGCTAGTGGTTAGCTCACTAGCTTCAAATAGGCCGTAAATGCTCGCGAAGTAGGTGCGTGCATATTGGAACTTCCGTTCTGGGCCTTCAAGGTAAAGTCCCAAGTAATGCGCTTTATATTGCAAGGTTGTGGAAAAATACGAGTTCGTAAGGTTCAGACGAACTACACAGTTTGTGTTTCAATGAGAATGGTAAATACTTAAAAGCCTGTTCCGGTATTGTTTACTTAAAGCGTTGAGGAAGCTTTTAATTTGAAGACGCCGTCGCCTGTCTTCCTGTGTTTTCTCCTGCTGTTGTTATGAATGTTTTTGAGGTTTGACGAGCGCAGCTAGCTAGCTTGCTGCCTATCTAGCAAGCGACTTAAAGCCACTTAACCAAAGCGACACAGAGAGTGCGTTTGCATATCGTACTAAGTGGCTGTCAGTGTGTGTTAAAACCCTGACAGATATTTATCGGCCCCGCTGTTTCATTGTTCAGTTTGTGTTAGGAACAGCGTCAAACCTGTAACCAAACGGTCCACAAGTCCAGCGGTAGCTAGCTTTTTGCCAGGTTGAGCTAAAGTGATTTTCACGTTAGTCAGCCATCTAATCAGAGTGCAATGTAACTCCGAATATAGGCAACATCGGCGTAATACAACAGTATAATGTACTGTGGTGGCTGATTGAAATAATCTATTCTCGATATGTAGCTGTGTTTGTAAGAAATATGCCCATCTTATGTTTTGACGGTTTAGGTTTATCACTTTACATATACTTGTAGTTCTTTTAAAACATTAGAAAACAGAGTTTAGAGTTTAAATTAGAATATATACAATCATAACTGCTACACTTGCATGAAGGCAAAAAAAAATGGAGGAAGAAGGCCAGAATGCAAGCGTACCTGTGCACGTCAAAACACAAGCATGTAAACATACAGACGGCGGCATGCTTCATGTGTTCACATGCTCAGAAACAAAAGAGACAGAAAATAAGCACAACAACTTTGAACTGAGACGCTAAACTGGCCAATTTCTACAGATCAGTAAAGATACAGCTTATCTGACTTGGTATGCAAGACTTTTCTTTATGTTTTTAGATTTAAATAGTCTATTGTTGGTGGTGTAGTGGAAATCTTTCTTCTCATGGTTTCATAGTTTCACTCCGCAATTGGAAATACACGTCTTTTAAGGTAGTCAGACCC